TTGTGTGAACACCATAGTGTACTTACACAAACCTAGATGGTATTGCCTACTACACACCTAGGCTATGTGGTGTAGCCTATTGCTCCTAGGCTACAAATCTGCACACCATGTTACTGTACTGAATATTGTAGGCAATTGTAACACAATGGTAAGTACTGCATATCTAAACATATCTAAACATAGAAAAGGTACAGCAAAAATATAGTCTTATAATCACATGGTACCAACAGTCGTATATGCAGTCTGTCCTTGATCAAAATGTTATGCAGCACATGACTGCATAACATGTGCTGCATATATGTGGAAACATTATGTAAATATATAAATATGTAAATATTTATATGTGTATTTTCCCACTTTCCCCCCTACAGTGGGAGGGTTAGTTTGATACATACTACTCCATCTTGCCTGGAGTTGCAAGTCTCAGTACTTAGCTTTTGGGTTTGCAATAATTTTACTAAATTGTTTATGTGCCTCAACTACAAAAGATATTAATAGTATGTTCTCTTTAAATTTTGGAGTTTGATTCTTTTTCATTTCTGGATTAGATAAAATCTACCACCTGTGTGGGGGTAGAATCAAAGTCTGAGTCTCTGCAATCTAAGGCCATGATCAAAACTTAAATAATTTATAAATCTAGAGTCATGTAATGGAGATTCCTCTTCAGCCTGGGTGTGGATAAACCACCTGAATCCCAAGAGTTTAGCTCTACCACTCAGGGCAGTTGTGTATAGTTGTGCAGGCTTCGGGGGGTGCCATTTGTACAGGTTAAGTGGAATGGTACCCTTTGGAGTTGTGCAATATAGTGGCTGTGATGCCACCATTCTTTTTGGCTTTATAACTAAATTCCTTTGGGGAAAAAAACAAACAAACAAACAAACTACTTAGGGCAACTGATCTGGCATTGCCTAACTATGCCTGATGTGAAATTCACCAGGACATCAAGGAAAACAGCTTTAGTTAAGCAGTGGAATTAGGAGCCTGATTACAGAAAATTAGGAGGTAAAGAATGACTGGGAAGTCAGAAAGTGTAGCTATCAGATGAATACAGTTGGATGTGAAGAGGAGTGAGAGATATAGTGGTTTGTAGAGAGGGAAAAACTTTGTTTTAGTGATGAGGAGATTTAAGCATGTTTAAGGGCTGGGGATGAAGTGATTGGAGAAGGAGAGGTAGAAGATACAAAAACAAGAAGAGATAATTAAAAGTTTCTTGGTAGAGGTGATAAGAGAAAGAGCCCAGATAAGATAGATTGGGAAAAGATAAGGAGAGGTAAAGATACAGATTAAGTTAGGAGGTTTGAAAGAAAGAATGATGAGATACATGAAAATTTCATTTTCTGGAGGCTGCTGGAATCATGATGGGAAAGATCACCTAAAGATATGGTAAAGATGTGGAATTAATGACTGGATGTGATAAATGAGTGAGACAAATAAGTCTCTGACAACTTCCAAGTTTGGGGCTTGGGCAGCTGGATGGATGATAGTGCTGAGGTTAAAAAGAAAAGGACTAGGATGAGTTAGGATGGATTTAGCTTTGTTCACTTTCAGTCAATCGACAATAATGGCTACTGCCTATGAACCTGGAAATCCACAGTACCCGAGTGAAAAGATAAAACTCTTTCCCTTCCAGGCCTTGTGCTTCTGGAATGTTAGCAGAAGCATTCTGCTTTGCTGGATGGAGAACTACTCTCTCTGTTCTTCAAGGACATATGTAAGATATGAGAAATGGGTTTGCAGAATGAACATTTAGTGGAGGATTTATTTGAACTTTTTTTTTTTTTAAAAAGTGAAACATTTTCTTGACTTGTTGGTGGATACCAAGGTATGTATACTTTACTATGAATTCTTCATGAAAAACGGCAATCAGAAATTCTCACCTGAAAGGAAAATTCAGGCTGTGTAGGAGAAAGTTTTCACAATAACCAAAGGGAAAATTGAAAGGAAGGGAAGATTTTAACAGAGAGAAAGAGGGGAAAGGGGAAAGAGGCTAGCCACCGGCCTAGAGTAGTGATTCTGAGGAGATAATAACAGAGAGAAAACTGGATAAACTATAAAAGGATGACTGGTTTTGGGGGAGAAGGAGGACGAACCTGGGAAAATATTGAGAGACTGAGAAAAGGAGAAGCGTATTTGAGGTTAGAAAGGGAGGAAGGTGACATCGGCATGGATAGAAGGAAAAAACAGAGCGGGGTCTGGGAATGAAAAGATCTCTGGGTTGAGATAGGGGGTGGTGAGAATGGGGAGATGAAAGAGGATGAAGGGCGCGGCGGGTGTTTGCGGCAGAGGGACCAAAGCAATCTGGGCGGAGCAGGCGGCAGAGGCAGTCGCGGGGGAGGCCCGTCTCCCCAGATCACCAGCACCGTCGCAGCTGGAGGGGATGCTCTCCGGGCCTGGAGGATGCGCGCTAGCAGTCTGGGAAGCTTGCAGGGAAACGAAGCAGGGATCGTAATTCCACTGGGTGGCCAGGCCCGGGGAAATCCATGAAGAGGAACGACAAGTCCTGCTGCAGCCGCCAATGCCACTTCGGCTGCTGCTGTCGCGCATCTCGCCGGGCTCACCACGCGCCTTACTGGTCCGGGGACGAGGCGCGAGCCCCGCAGTCCCCACGGCAGCCCCCGGGCCGGGAAAGACGGCGCCCAGAGCTGGCCGGGAGCTGGGCGGCGGCGGCCGAGGAGGAAGAAGCGGCCGCGGTGGCCGCGCCCTGGGTGAGGTGAGAGCACGGGCAGCTCCTGCAGCTGGAGCCCCGGAGGCTGCGGACCGCGCTGGGGGTGGCGGCGCGCGGAGCGCCGGGCAGGAGAACCGCGCGGAGGGCTGGGCCTCGGACTGGAGATCTGGACGCCTTGGGAGGGGTCGGCGCCGAGTGACAATTGCTTGGAGAAGGCTGGAGGGCAAGGGAGGTGATGGGGCTCGTGGCGGGGGTGGGAGGAGGAGGAACAGAGGTGAGTTGCCTAGAAATAAAGGCGTGGCACCGGATGGTACCGGACTGAAGCTTGGGCAACCTGGTCTCAACTCCAAGGTCTTTGCTTGATGTGTAGATGTCTGCTGTGATGGTAGAGGTGAGGTTGAAGGCTGTGCCTGCTGGGTTGAGCCAAAGGAGTGATGAACACACGATTCGGAGGGCCATGCTAGGATGAAACATTAGGAATAGTCATGGAAGATAAAGGATCAGAAACGCGCGCGGGTGAAAGAGCACGCACGCAGTGACTTCTGTTACGTCTCTTCTATTTTGGATATTTGTCTCAGATACAGACAGCGGGGTGGGGCTGGTGATGATTCTTCCTAGGCTACCTCTTTCCTGCAGAGCTGCAGCCTTGCCTGTTAGCTGGATGAGGCCGTGCAGGACAAGCTCCACCTAAACTCAGTTCCTTTCTTTGCTTCGGCCTGGAGGGCTGGACAGATAAGGCCCAATTTTCTTCGTGTAGCCTCAGCAAGATGAAAATCTGTCACACGTAAAATTTTCTGGGGAAGAGACAGATGGTACTGCAGACTTTCATGCAATAAGCATGTCCTTATCAAAGCATGTTTAGCTTTTTTATTTCATGGGAAGCCAGTACTCATAAATCAAACCACAAGGCAATAGTGATTTCAGTCTCTAAGCTGCCATTAACTAAGTCGGATCTTAAAAAAGTTACTTTATTTCTCCAGATCTTAGTTTCCTATGCATAAAATTGGAATTTGGATCAAACCAGTACTAATTATAGAACTAAATAGTCATTGGATTTGTATTCTGTATTCAGGTTTCTGCTATATTTGTGAACTAGAAAACTCAGCCTATTCACAGACACTTAATTGTATTTTTTCATAACAATATCCGCTGTTTATATCAGAAAACAGAGTCAAAGACATTCAGTTAACACTGCTTAAAGGAATCACATTTCTATTAAGAAATTCATAATAAATTATTGCTCTTAAGAAGGAATGAATCAAGAAGTATTCATTATTTGATTTTT